TAGAATAGAATAGAATAGAATAGAATAGAATAGAATAGAATAGAATACCTTTATTGTCGTTGCATTCTACAAATACAATGAAATTTGAAAGCTACTCCAGCACAGTGCCCCAAACACCACATCACAATCACACTACAGAGTATTTAAAAATTAAAATAATTAAAATAATAATAATTTAAAACCTAGTCTAAAATCTATCTAAAACATATAGTAAGTTAGATAGTTTAAAAATGTCATTATATACATAGGGCTAAATCACATATGCATTGTGTGATTCAAGACAATTATTGCCTTGGAAAAGAAATTGTTTCTCAGTTTATTAGTCCTCATTTTAAGACACTTATAGCATCTCCCTGATGGTAACAGTTCGAAATATGATTGACCAGGGTGAGAACGGTCTCTGGAGATTTTTAGTGCTCTAGATAGGAGTCTGGTCTTCACAATCTCTTCCAAAGAAGAAAGAGAGCAACCGATGATTTTTTGTGTTGTGTTTATAACTCTCTGGAGCATCTTCTTATCCACTACAGAGCATCCAACATACCACACTGTTATACAGTATGCCAAAATGCTCTCGATGGTAGAACAGTAAAAAGTAACCAGCAACTTCTCACTCAGACCACTCTTTTTCAGCAGCCTCAGAAAGTGCAGGCGCTGTTGGGCCTTCTTTGCAGTGGCCATAGCGTGGACCGACCAAGTAAGGTTGTCGGAAATATGAGTTCCTAGAAATTTAAAATTATGAACTCTTTCCACACAATCTCCATTGATATATAGTGGAAGAGGCTCTGCTTTGCATTTTAATGACTCCAAAGCAAATTTTGCCCCTTAATTGCATGAAGGTGAAAATTCAACATGTAGAACAGTAAATGTCACCTTTGTACTGAAAAAATTGACCATTTAATCAGGGACTGAAGCAATTTCACAAACTGATTATAGGCGTCATCATGACCAAGTTGCCAAGATTATTCATTGGAAACTTTGCCAGATGTTTGCATTTGAATGTGATAAAAACCTACTGGACCATCAAGTTGAGAAGCTTTTGCAAATGAGAGAATAAGATCTTATAGGACTTTAAGATCCAAACAGACAACCATCTTGTTTATAACATGCCTGATCTAAAGGAACAAATGAATATTCACAGTGATGCTAGGATTAAGGAAAAACAATTGGGGGAAAACCTATATTATGAGCCGCGATGGCACAGTGGTTAGAATGCATTACTGTAGGCTACTTCTGCTGCCTGCAATTTGGCAAATTGAATCTCACCAGGGTCAAGGTTGACTCAGCCTTCCATCCTTCTGAAGTGGGTAAAATGAGGACCCAGATTGTTGGGAGAATATGCTGACTCTGTAAACTGCTTAGAGAGGGCTGTAAAAGCACTGTGAAGCAGTATATTAGTCTAGGTGCTGTTGTTATTATATTACATCAATTAGATATAGGAAATCTAGTAGCCTTTGAGATGTTACTGGATTACAACTCTTATATTTTTTCTGCTGGTGGTAGAAGTTTGTGTCCCAAAACATTTGAAGGACTACATAGTCTCTAACATGGTCATCAGGTCAAATAAAGATGAACCCAGCTATACATTACAGAGGATACATATATCACTGCTACTGTGTAGGAAGTATCTTCCAGAAGTTAATTATGAAAATTACTCAGACTAAGCATATAAACGGAATCCATTGTAGAATTGTCAAAGGGGAACCTTACAGCATAATCTAATGCAAACATATCCAGATACAAATTTTACAGCATAAGTCTGCTTTGTTTGCTTGCAAATTTTGTTCAAGATTGTAGCCTTAAGGTGTAATGGATGCATAATCTTGCACAATTTTGTCAAACAGTATAACCAAAAGGTTAGGAGATACATTAAACTTGTTAAATATGCTACCTTGTATTTTCTTGGGGAAAAAAGTATGAGGTATAATTATAAAGTTCATAAAATATTTTCATTCTAGCAGTGATAATTTTCATTCCCCAGAGAAAGCAGGAACAAACACTTATGTATTGACTGTTCAGCTCTGAAATGAGTATAAGTGCTTCTAAAAAT